GGATCAACAATCAACACTCATGGAAGCAGCAGTCAAGAAATCAAAGGACATATTACATTAGTCATATCTGATATCTGTTGCACAAGACCTTTTTAAAGTGTTGAAGAACAAAGATATCAGTTTGAGGACTAAGGTGGGCGTGATTCAAGCCATGGTATTTTCAATAGCCTCATATGCATGTGAAAGTTGGGCCATGGAATAAGGAAAACCTTAGAAGAACTGATGCATATGAGTTATGGTGTCGGTGAATATTGAAAGGAGCACAGACTGCCAAGAGAAAACAATCTGTGTTGAAAGAAATTGGGAGCCAGGATGATCAGACTTTGCCTCTTACGCTTCGGACATATTGTCAGGAGGGATCAGTCCCTGGAAAAGGATACCATGGTTTGGTAAAATGGAGAAAAAGAGGAAGACCCCCAATGAGATGGATCGGCATAGTGGCAAGCACGATTGGCTCATTTGTAGCAATCGTTTTGAGGTTAGCGCAGAACTGGGAACTGTTGTACATAGGGTTGCTATGAGTCAGTACCGACTCGAGGGCATCTAACAACAAGAAGTCATTGAGATGAAACAAAATGCGAATGAACTGTTGAATGGAAACTGTAAACCTTTATCCAATTCTCAATAAAAAGCTTTAAAAAGGTGGGTGAGAAAGGTTGTATGACTCCAAGAATGTAATCAATAGCACTAAAATGTACACACAGAAACAGCTGAACTTGTATCTGTGTACAATCTCACCAATAAGAAAATAAAATGTAAAAAAAAAAAGCACATAGTGAGTGTCTACTGTGGAATAGGTACTACTGTAGGTACCAGGGATACAGCAGTCAGTAATACTGAATTCCCTGTTCTTGTGCAACTTACATTCTATCAGAAAAGTCAGATAACACAGAAATTAAATAATGACTGAAAGTCAAGAAGTGATACAGGTTTTGAGGAAACCAGAAGTGAAACAGAGCAGCAACAGGTTTGGGGTGGAGCTACTTCAGATAGTACCGTGGTTGTGCAAGGCCGGTGAGACAGCGACATTCAGACAGCAACCTGAAAGGGGGAGAGTGAGCGTTGTAAAAGTGCACCAGGCAGAGGACGCAGGAAGGACAAAATGAGTTGGTGAATTCAAGAAACAGCAAGAAACCCAGTGTGGCAACACAGAGCTGAGCATGGGAGGGAACAGAGGAAAGGAGGGACTTAGGGACCAGATCAAAAGGGATCTTGAGGATCTTTGGATTTTATTCTGAATGTGAACACACCAGAGTTTAAAGCAGGGAAAGGCCATTAAGCGGACCATATTTGTAAGATCACTTTGGTTCCAAAGAAACAACACCTGAAAATAAGAACTACCATATATCCCAGCAATTCCAATCCTGGGCATGCAGCACTATCACTAATAGCCCACAGGTGGCAACCTAACTGCCTGTCAAGAAATGAATGGGCAAATACAGTACAGCACATACATACAGAGGGGCTCTGGTGCAAGGTCAGCAGTTCAAATCCACCAGCTGAGCTTGGGAGAAAGATGGGACTTTCTGCTCCTATAAAGATTTACAGCCTCAGAAACCTTACACCAAGTTGCTGTGAGTTGGAACCAACTCAATGGCACACAACCACCACCACCCACCACCACATACATACAAAGTAATAACAGTCACTAAAAGAAAAGCAGTCTTGATATATGCAACAGTACGGATGGAGTTTGAAGACGTTGTTAAGTGCCATCGAGTCAGTTCTGACTCATAACAACCCTGAACAGGGTTTCTGAGGAGTGGCTGGTAGATTTGAACTGCCAACCTTTTGGTGACTGTTTTTGTTAAGTGCTGCCGAAATGGTTCTAACCCATAGCAACCCTAAACCTTGTATAGGGTTTTCAAGGAGCATCCAGTGAGCTTGAACTGCTGACTTTGCAGTTCAAACCAAGTTTGCAATCCAGCACATTAACTCACAGCACCACACCAGGACTCCAACCTTTTGGTTAGCAGTCCTTAACCTATAGCACCACACCAGGACATCATGCTGAATGAAATAAGTCAATCACAGAAGAACAAATATTGCTTGATCTCACTTATACAAAAAAGACAATAAAAGGCAAATGTATAGACACCAAAGTTTATTAGCGGTTACCAGTGGCAGGAAGGCAGGAGAAGAGAAGGGTAATTGCTTATGGAATACCGAATTTCAGTTTACAGTTGATGGAAAAAGTCATACTGATTTAAGGTAGGGTTCCACAGCGGATTATTAATAACTGCTGTCAGTAATCTGTACACCTGTAAAAAGTTGAATTGGCAAAAACCGTGTGATATAAATATTTACAGCAATGAGGGGAAAAAAGTATCTTCTGAGGCTGCTTATGTACAACCAAACACCTCAAGGGATTTGGTTCCTTGGTTTGGGAGTCCAAGGTCATGCTTTCATGGGACATCTTAGTTAATTGGCCTAATAACGTGTTTAGTGTTCCTGTTTTCCCCTCTAGTTCATGGTGTCGTGCCTGGGGTCTTAGCTTACATGCAGCCACCCAAGACACAATTGTCTCTATTCCCCTGGAGCAGCAGAGGAGGAGAGTCAAGAATAGAAGGAAGATCTGGAAAGTGTGCCTAATAGCCTCCATGAACAAGTGCCTCCTTTGCCGGTAAGTCCAGAAAAACTGAATGGTGCCTGGCTTTGAATATCTTGGTCAAAGATTCTATAGAAGAATCCTGATCAAAAGGGGGCAATACAGAACAGAATTTCAATTCACATGGGCTCCAGAATTTTTAAAGTTATGGAGGCAGAATGAACCCTTGAAATTATTGCCCTGAGATCTTCTTTAAACCCCAAACCAAAAACAGTCACTGAAATTTGCTTAAATCCAAACAATAGATATGCTAAAAAAAACCAAAAAAGCCTGCCTTGTGCATTATGGTCTTTTAGGAAGCATCTGTGTGGGATTAAATTGACAACAGCAACTCCAGAAAGATGAGACGGGAACCTGATGGAGCACTTGGCTCATGTTAATGGGAAGGGACAACTCAGAAGAGGGTGCGAATGGTTGCACAACAGGAAGAACGTCATGAATGTCACTGAACTGAACATGTAGAAAATGTTGAATTGGGCTATGTTTGGCTGTGTATATTCTCAACAATAAAATGAATTTAAAATTGAAAAAAAAAAAAAAAAAAAAGATCACATGGGCTATGGAAAACAGAATAGGAGCTTGAGAGGAGGGGCTGAAGGACTCCAGTTACAAAGCTACTGAAGTTGACCTTGGATAGAGATGACAATGACTTAGACTAGGAAGGTAACAGTGGGAGCGACAGAGATATGACTGGATTCAGGATACATTTGGGAGGGAACAGCTAAAAGGACTTGCTGAGATTGGTTGTAGGGTATGACAGAAAGATCAGGACAAAAAGATATCCATGAGGTTTCTGGTCTGAGCAATTGAGTGATTGGTGGTGTCTTTGACTAAGATGGGGAAGCCATAGGAAGAGCAGGTTTGCAGGGGAGTTAGAGGCAGGGGGTAGACCAAAACTTCTGTTTAGAGTAAGAAAGTGGAGCACATGTATTTGGGAATAGCTTGCCAAGTGATCTGTATGCATCTTTCCCTTCCTTCGCACCACAAAGTTCTGAACCAATCAACTACTGAAAAGTGGGACTATCATGGGAATCTACTATTCACATTTTCTATCATTGAGATGCATTATCTGTCAACTGAGAAAATACCAGATTACTCAATTTCCAACGAAGGGAAAAGTAAATCTTTACCCAGAGAGATGACAGTCTCATAGTTCTCCTGCATCACACTGTTGTAGAGAGCCTTCTGATTGGGTTCCAATAACTCCCATTCTTCCTGGGAAAAATTCAGGGAGACATCTTCAAAGGTCAACAGACTCTAAAGAAGAAAATGGACTTTAAGTCAGTACTCGTCACTACAGATGCAGTCCAACCACCTGTCTCTGAAATGCATGGTCGACCAGCCCTTGAAGAAAGTAACAGTACATGACAGAGAAGAGAGAGAAACCAACGAGGAAGGCGTCAAAGGGATCAGAGCAAACAACCTGTAAAATACCCAGCCCCCACTGAGCCAAGCCTGAATGTACAGGGGAAACATCTGGGGTGAATGTGCCTCCATGCATCTGTTGGGTAGTGTGGGTCATGGGCAACAGGGCAAAGAACTGAAACCTGGGAAAGTTTACTGCTGGAGACCTATGGTTTTAGGTCCTGCCTCAGCCATCCTAAGGGAACAACAGAAGAGTGACCCAATCTCTATCTCATTTCTTATAGACACACCCTGATTCTATTTCCTCATATATGTTAGGAATCTTTCTTCTCACCTCATTCCTCTGACTAAATTCTCCCTGAAAGTATTCAACCAGGGCCACAGCCTCCTCAATGCTCTGTGGATGATGCTTCTGCATCTGGGTCTGGAGCTTCTTGGGCAGAATGGTCAGGAATTGCTCGATCACCAGCAGTTCTAATATCTGCTTTTTTGAGTGGATCTCTGGCCTCAGCCACCGGCGGCATAATTCCTGCAGTTGGCTGGCAGCCTGAAAAGGTCCAGCTGCTTCAGGATAGTAGAAGTTCCGGAAGTGCTGACGAGAGCTGTCAGGATCAAGATAACTGTTCCTCTGTGGGACGAATTTCTTACTCTGACTGGAGCTGCCTTGCACAGACCTCTTACTCTCCAACACAGTCCTCATCTGGGGGGTCCAGCATGCAGCCACTTTGAGATGTCTCCTCATCCTTCTGCTCTAGGAACACTTGGACTCTTGTGTATGGCAAGCCCAGCTCCACCTTGGACAGATGAGGCTCCTTCAGGTTTAGTACAAAATCAATGAGATCTTCTTCCTGAGGACTCTAGGGGAGTAGGAGGGGGAAGCATACGGAACAAAAAACGGACACGTCAAAAACAAAACAACACATGACCCCTCTATACTTGCTACTTATGAGAGATACATGAACAGAAATGGTCATATCCTTGTTGTTAGGTGCCATCAAGTCAGTACCGACCCATAGCGACCTTATGCACAGCAGAACAAAACACTGCCCGATCCTAGGCCAACCTCACTACTGTTGACACGCTTGAGTCCACTGATGCTGCCACTTGGAAAATCCATCTCGTTGGGGGTCTTCCTCTTTTTCTACGACCCTCAACCTTATCAAACATGATATCCTTCTCCAGTGACTAGTCCCTCTTGACAATATGTCCAAAGTATGAGAAACAAAGTTTGGCCATCTTGGCCTCTAGGGACCACTCTGGCTGCACTTCCTCCAAAACGGATCTAGTATTAGAACACCATGATAACAGATTACTTCAGGACCTAGATGTCTTTTCTTTGTTACTCAACTTTGAAACAAAGCATAGTTCTGAGATGGCTTATGACAATGACTTTTTGACTGTCTGTTTGTTTTCTGGTTTAGGAAGTTCTGGTGGGTGACAAAATTGGCACCCAATGGTTCAAAGGAGTTTTGAGATCATCAAAAGACTTAATCTGTGTGTTCCTGCCCTAGCTTCATATTATCAAGGAAAGATTAGGGTGAAATGGGACATATTTGGTTTCTCTACATGTTAACAGAAGACCAGAAGAGTTTTGGGATGACATCAAGAACATTATACATGAAGAAAACAAAAAGTCATTAAGAAGACAAAAAAGAAAGAAAAAGTAAAAATGGATGTCAGAAGAGACCCTGAAACTTGCTCTCTAACATAGAGATGCTAAAGCAAATGGAAGAAATAAGGAGGTACAAGTGCTGAACAGAAAATTTCAAAGATCAGCTCAAGAAGATAAAGCCAAATATTACAACAAAATGTGCAAAGATCTGGAATCAGAAAACCAAAAAGGAAGAACACGCTCAGCATTTGTGAAGCTGGGGGAACTGAAGAAAAAATGCAAGCCTCGACTTTCTTTACTAAAGGATTCTCTGGGCAAATTATTGAATGATGCAGAAAGCATCAAGAGAAGAAGGAAGGAATACGCAGAGTCACTATACCAAAAGGAAATGGTTAATGTCCAACCATTTCAAGAGGAAGCATATGATCAAGAGCCAATGATACTCAGGGAGGAAGTCCAAGGTGCATTGAAGGAATTGGCAAAGAACAAGGCACCAGGAATTGATGGAACAAAAATTGAAATCTTTCAAGAAAGTGAGGTGGCACAGAAGGCATTCACTCATCTATGCCAAGAAATTTGGAAGACAACTATCTGGCCGACTGATTGAAGAGATCTGTATTTGTGCCCATTCCAAAGAGAGATGACCCAACGGAATGCGGAAATCATCGGACAATCACTTTGATATCCCACGTGAGTCAAATTTTACTAAAGGTAATACAGAAATAGCTGCAAGCATACATGCACAGAGAACTTCCAGAGGTTCAAGTCGGATTCAGAAGAGGCCGTGGAACGAGGGATATCACCGCTGATGTCCGATGGATCTTGGTTGAAAGCAGGGAATATCAGAAAGATGTTTACCTGTACTTTATTGATTACTCCAAGGCTTTTGATTGTGTGGATTATGACAAGCTATGGACAACATATGAGTATTCTGGAACACTTAATTGTGCTCATGAGGAATCTGTACCTGGCCCAAGAGGCAGTTGTTTGAACAGAACATGGGAACACTAAATGGTTTGAAATTAAGAAAGGTGTGCCACAAGGTTGTATTCTTTCACCATACTTATTCAACCTGTATGCCGAGCAAAAGAGCTCTGGTAGCGTAGTGGTTATGAATCGGGCTGCGAACCTTAAGGCCAGTAGTTTGAAACTATCAGCCGCTCCATGGGAGAAAGAAGAGGCTTTCTGCTATTGTAAAGATTTACAGCCTCGGAAACCCTGTACAGGGTCGCTATGGGTCGGAACCAACTCGACGGCACTGAACAACAACAATAATGCTGAGCAAATAATCTGAGAAGCTGGGTTCTGTGAAGAAAAATGTGGCATCAGGATTGGAGGAAGACTCATTAACAACCTGCGATATGCAGATGATAGAAACTTGCTTGCTGAAAGTGAAGAGGACTTAAAACATTTACTGATGAAGATCAAAGAGCACAGCCTTCAGTATGGATTACATCTCAAGGTAAAGAAAACAAAAATCCTCACCATTGGACCAATAAACAACATTCTTAGCAACGGATAAAAGATTGAAGTTGTCAAGGACTTCATTCTTCTTGGATCAACTATCATCACTCATGGAAGGAGCAGTCAAGAAATCAAATGACATATTGCATTGGGCAAATCTGCTGCACAAGACCTTTATTAAGTGTTGAAAAGCAAAGATGTCAGCTTGAGGACTAAGGTGCGCCTGACCCAAGCCATGGTATTTTCAATAACCTCAAGTGCATGTGAAAGCTGGACAGTAAATAAGGGAGACCATAGAAGAATCGATGCTTTTGAGTTACGGTGTTGGAGGAAAATATTGAAAGTGCCATGGGTTGCCAAAAGAACCAACAGATCCGCATTGGAAGAAGTGCAGCCAGAGTGCTGCTTGGAGGCCAGGATGACCACACTTCGTGTCTCATACTTCGGACATATTGTCAGGAGGGACCAGTCGCTGGGGAATGATATCATATTTAGTAAGGTGGAGGGTCAGAGAAAAAGAGGACGACCCCCCCAATGAGATGGCTTGGCCAAGTGGCAGCTTCGGTGGACTCAAGCGTGGCAACAGTAGTGAGTTTGGCCCAGGATCAGGCAGTATTTCATTCTGCTGTGCATAAGGTCGCTATGAATTGGTAATGACTCGATGGCACCTATCAACAACAACAACATGCTAACAGGCCATTCCAGTGTTTTGGTTTTAGCTGAGGGAAAAGCACTTTCTATGTCACCTCAATTCTTTTGTGACGATGAAAGCCTTCACGGAACAATTGATAGCCTCCTTTCCACTGTATTAATGATGGCAGTGAGATCAGAAGAAAAGGGAAGTAATTCGCAGAAAAGAGTTGTATTCCTAGCAGCAAGTGTCTCTGACTAAGCAACCACATCCTCATCATGTTTCTCTGTTATTTCTTTGCAAGACTTATAAATGGCACTGGATTCAAAAATTTTCGTTCAACTAGAAAAAATAATAATAAAGCTGGCCTTTGTTTAATGGATATCAACATTTCAGAAAGTAAAATCAGAGGGTAAAAGAGAGGGTGGCGATGAAGGTTGTTCATTGAGAAGATACTAGTAGGGCAACCCTTCTGCTGATTTTACACTTTCTTGGGGTCATTGAACCTGTCAGCAAGGCTGGAGGTAGCCTCGTGAACCCCATTTTCCCTGGTGGTGGTTGTGGTGTGCTGTGGCGTCGATTCCGACTCATAACGACCCTGTACAGGGTTTCCTAGTCTGTAAATCTTTACGGGAGCAGAAAGCCTCATCTTTCTCCTGTGGTAGTTTCGAACTACTGACCTTGCGGTTCGCAACCCCATTCGTAACCACTACACTACCAGAACTCTTTGAGGTGGCCCAAAAGCCAAAAGAAGTAGTAACCCAAATGGTTTCTAAGATGCCAAAGAAATGGCTGAGTTCATGCTTCCTATCTCGGTTCAGGAGGCAAGGGGACACGTCTGGTAATTTCATGCCAACAGAAGCAGTCTCTGAGGCGGACGTCTCTGAGGCTGAACTGACCCTTTCTCTCTCTCTTGATACCATAAGCCAGCAGAACCCGGTGAGTTTCAAGGGATGCAGTGGTTAACACTATTGATCCTACTCCAAGGCAGAATCTCTACGGAGATTCTGGAAGGACTACAAGAGCTCCCAGAAGCTCAGGTTTCTGTTTTCTCATAGGATAGCAAGAGGAGTGAGGTGGGAGGGCCATTGGTGAGCAGGCGCGCCTGACTCTGGGCAGGAGAAACTCACTGTGTGTCCACTGAGAACGCCAGCGTCCCACCCCCACCGCCCCCACCACTCAGCTGCCCAGACCGAATCCAAAGGGAAATCCATTTCTTGGTTTACCTCCAGACAACGCCGGCTTCCGTGGAGGTCACTTGCCTCTTTCAGTCTCAACTGCAACACCACCTAGTGCAGTCTACTCGAGAGCGCAGCTGTCAGCCTCCGCGCCACTCGGGAAGGCGCATTCGGCAGAGCGCGCTCTAGGCCAGGAGAACTAAGTCCCCGGGCTTCCCAGAACCAACGGAAGCTCGGGCACTCCTAACCCTCCCTTCCGAGGTCTCTAATCCCAAAGCACTTTAGTTAGGGTTGTGGTTTATGGACCGGGCGCCAACCGGAAGATGAAAGGGTTCAGTTCCGCTGACGTATGATAGCCACGCCAGTCGACTCCCTCCCTTTACCTGTGTAGACTCAGCCCAGTAAAATGAGAAACTGGCCTGCGTGTCCGTACCCTCCCTGAAGAATCAGTTCCCTGCTTCCTCTCGGCCCTGAAGAGTTACTACTACCGAATCTTTATACCTGAGGGAAGCCTACAGGAGCGCCTAAAATGGCTCCTCGCTTGGGCAACTTGGCGGACTCCGGGGGGCCGCTGTCAGATCTTAACCCAGCTTTGCATTCAGACTGTTTCAGTTTTTCTCTAAACTCTCGCGCGACTTGAGGCTATTAGGGACCAGGGACCTCGTTCAGAAACTAGCGCCTCCTGTGATGTGGAGGGACCAAGATAGATACTGACTCACATGGACTGGGCTGCCTCTCCACTGCGCGTGCGCAGTACTCTTCTTAGCGCCCAGCCGGAGAAAAGTGAGTTGTTATCCTTGGGCTTATTGGACGCCTCGTCCTTAAGAGCCTCCAGTGAACAAAAGTCCCTTACATTT